CTCTTTTGCATGATCCAAAAGAAAGAAAAAATGAGACAAAAAGAATAGGAAGATCTATTTTTTTCCTTCTTCATCTGCTTTCATTGCTTCTTCTTCTTCATCTTCATTTTCTTTCATTGCTTCTTCTTCTTACTCATTTTATTTCATTGCTACTTCTTCTTCTTCATCTTCATCTTCTTCGAGAATTATTGGATAAGAATAATCGTCAAACCCTTAAACCCGTTCGTTTCTTTTTCTTTCCATGGTTTATTGATTTATATTTATATTTATATTTCATTCATTCATTCTTCCCTTCCGTTTCTTTCTTGTAAAAAAAAACATAGATATTGAATCATTAGATTTGAAACTTATCACTTTTCTAGATATTCTTCTTTTTCTTTCTTTCATTCTAAACGTTATTAATGTCGATACTATTATTCCTATACGTTTCACGTGTTCTCTTATTGTTAATTTATATGTAAATAAAAAAAGAAAAGCAACGAAGATAAATATATTTTAGCGCCGGGAATAGATTTTTAATATTTGTGTGTGTGTGTTTGTAAACGGGAAAAAAATATGTACGATTTTTATATTTTCCTTTTAAAGTATTATTCTTCGAATGAATGAACGAAAAGAAGCTTGAAATTCCGCTAACAGCAGGAACTGCTACACATTCTATTGCTTGAAAAGTTGTTCAAATGGGAAGAGCAGGAGGAGGCGATGGTGATGGTGACGATGGTCGTGGTAGGGATGAAGAAGAAAAAAGAAAAAGAAAAAAGAAAAAAAAAGAAAGGGAAAATGGTTTAATTGACGCGATGAAACGTTTACGGGACAAGAATAATGTGCGAATGTGACTCTAGCTAACGGAAAGCCTCGTTATGTCTACTACTAACATATAACAACAACAACAACAATAACAACATAACGTAGTAGTAGTAGTAGTAGTAATAGTAATAGTAGTAGTCAACAATATATCCACGTAATAGACAACCGGGCCATTTTTTCACCATTTACCACTCGTTTTAAGCGCAGTATTTAATTCGTTCTACGCATCGTCACTGTTAAGTAACTATAATTCCCGGTTATCACTCTTACAATGAGAGGAAAACAAAAAGAAAGAAAGAGGGAGGGGAAGGATGGTGGGTGGATGAATAGTAAGAGGGTGGGAGGGGAAAAACAAGCACCTAAATGACTTCTCGGGTGCTAGAAATTGCAGTAAATTGGTATGTGACTACTAATGTTACTTTCTCTCTTGTAATCGTCAAGATGAACACTACACTAACTAAACATCATATAAAGTGAATGCAATTGAAGAAAAAAAGAAAAAAAAAAGAGTTCTATTTAACTAATACAATTTATGTAACGTTACCAATTAAGAAAGTGGACTGTGAAAGAGGAAAAAACAAGAAATTAGAAAAAAAAAGTAAAGAATTTTCACGATTTATTTAATATCTTAAAAGTTATTATTATTGGCGTTTAAAAATATGATTGAATAAATTTATTGTATATTATTTCGTTAACTTTGATCGTCAGTACTGATAATTATCTCTACTCAATTTATATTTGTTTTAGATCAATATTTGTTTGAAAGTTCAAATTTATTAACGTAAACCAAAAAGATTCTACTCTTATAATTTAGGAATAAGATTCTGTTGAAATAAATAATATGATTATTCTATAACATATATATATATATATTATTCATCATTAACACTTATCGTTGAAACATTCTTTCAAATTTACAACTCACTAAGTCAATGTATCACGTCAACAAAAATTACTTGCAATTCTCCTTGAAAATTGATTGTATTTTCTTCTATCAATAATAATAAAAAAAGAAGAACAGATAAAAAAGAAATCCAAAAGGAAAAACGTGTTAGGAAGGAAGAAAAAAAGAAAGGAAAGAAAAAAAAAGAACTTACTCACCCATTCGGATAAAGAGAAAAGCTGAACGAATGATGGTATCATCGTCATCGAGTCAATCGACAATACCCATTGTCCCGTCCACTACTTGTTAAAGCCAACCCGTACTACCTCGTAAGTTAATCGTTTATACTACTACCTCGGTGATTACTCAAGCTCTCATGTATTTCTCTCTCTCTCTCTCTCTCTCTCTCTCTTTCTTTATTTCTCTTTTTTAAATGCAACTTATCAAGGGACAAGACAAGACAAGACAACACACTGAACGTTAAAGGGGTAGGGATAAGGATAGGAATAAGAAGAGTAAGGGTAAGGGTAAGGGTGCTATCGTTTCAAAGAGAAAACTTGCCAACTTTGTTCCTATACGTTCTTCTTACTTCTCTCTCTCCCCCCCTCTCTTACTTTTTATTTTCTCGAGGCTATCAACGAAGAAAAATAAAGACAGAAGACATTTCTTCTTCTTCTTCTCGTCATCATCGTCGTCGTTGTCATTGTAGTTGAAGAAAAACACGTCACCGAGATCGACAGCAAAGGTGACATTCCTTCAGAAGCTGTTTGAAAATAACAAGAAACTATCTCCCTCTCTCTCTTTCTCTCTCTCTCTCTTTCTATACTCGTACAAGTTCGTTATGAATGGAACAGGTACTCTTGAACGAATATACTTCTATCTCTCTCACACACTCACTCACTCACTCTATTTTCATCTTTTCTTTCTTTTTCTTATTACATACACTCATACATACATCCATACACTCATCCATGCATACATACACTCATACATATGTATGCATATATGCATGTATATACGTATAGAGAGAAAGATGGGGGGAGGTGGATTTCTTTCACTTAAGACCCATTAATTCCTCAGTTTAATCGAAGAAACGTGTGCGTGAAATAGTAGACTCGCTCAAATAGCGTAGGTGCAATGAGATAAATGAAAAAGAAAATGAGATAATATTATCGGAGAAGAAAATGTATTGGAGGAGGAGAAGATCCTGCGTAATATCCCCAGGTGCTGCGTAACTTGGCGTAGAATTAGCGAAAGAATCAGAAACGACGATGAAGAAGAAGAAGAAGAAGAAGAAGACAACAACGATAATGATGAAGAAGAGGAGGATAAGGAAGACGAGGACGAGGACGAGGACGAGGACGAGGACGAGGACGAGGCAACAGGTTCGAACGTCGCCGAGTGGGCGCCACTCTTTGCTCGCGGCTAACTTTTTACCCTCTTTTCTTCTCCTCCATCGCACACCACCGCGACAATCTACCTCCTACCCTTTTTCCCCTTTCTTCCCTCCTTGCAACCGTAAAGCGGGTAATTTAACCTCGTATCCCCCGGAATGTCACATCGTGGCTCGAGTTATCGAGGCCTCGAGAAAGTTCGTCGTTCTTTAACAGAAAGAGTAAAAGAAAGAGAAAGAGAGAGAGAGAGGGAGAGAGAAAGATGTATATCGTCTGTCATTAAAAGTGTGTTGTTCATCCCATTGAAAGGAAATCGTGTTGTCCTTTTGCGAACCTATTTTTTTATCTTTTTATTTTTGGTTTTCTTTTCTTTTCTATTCTTTTTAATTTTCCCTTCTTCTCTTTTTGTTCGATAAGATCTCAATCCAAATATCTTTTCTTCTTTTATATTCCTTGGAATACATTTTTCTCTTTCTTTTGCACACTTAGTGTACACGTTTATCGATTATAATCTCATTTTATTTCATATTATTTAGAGTACGTTGATCAATTAACTCAATTTATAACAAAAATATTTTTTCATTTAAAATATATTTATTTTATTTATTATATTTTTTTAGATTTATTAGTATTAATTTCAATTTTTGGAATATTCACGTTAAACTTGTATTTTCCAGTATAATCCTTTATCAGGAATGTATATTTTTTTCTTTTGTAGAATGTATTTTACGAACGATTTTCAATACGATTTTATCAATTCTAGGAGGGTTATTCAATTGGGTTATGAAGTATTTATGTATTTTATTCACAATTTACACGCTGGGTTTATTTAGAGGGAAGAAAAAAATATATGCTTTTTTCTCTCGTTTATGGTATTTCATTCACGTTTCGTTTACGTTCGATCGTGATCGAGAAATCAATCAGATCGTAGAAACAACAGATCAGGCTGATGATTATTGTTCGCGTGTGTTCTAATTGTTAAATACGTCTTCTTAGTATTTAGTAATAGATAATAGCATTTACTTGGAAAAAATAAAGGATTATTAAGACGTGAATTATTATTATTATTATTATTATTATTGTTATTATTATTATTATTNTTATTATTATTATTGTTATTATTATTATTATTATTATTATTATTATTATTATTATTATTATTATTATTATTATTATTATTATAGATTATTCTTTCTTCGTTTCATATCTTTCATCAGTTTTTCCTGAGAATCAACGAGTATGTTCATTCTCGCGTTACTTCATCGCGTATAGTAACATATATATATATATGTGAAAAGTATACATGGATCAACTAGTTGCGAATCTCAATAGATTGTAAGTATCACATAACGTAAGTTGTAAGAACGTGATATCTTACAAGATAAGTCATAGCTTGCTTGCTTCATCGATCTTCTACGCGTAGAGAATTCACAAGAACGGCAGAATTATTCCATTACTACTACTCTGTCTATTACTAACTTTTACAAAGAAAAATTATTTTTTTGTGTAACGAAGGTTAACCTGAATATTCCCGTACATTGAAATCTTACGAGAGAGAGAGAGAAAAAAACACGATGAACTATTTCAACAGAGCAATATTAACCTTGATCTATGTTATTACGAAATAATTGTTGAAAATAATTATCAAATAGAAAAAATTTATTTTTAACTCTCGAACAAACTAACCCTCTCCTTCTTTTCTTCAATCGATTTATGTTCATGTTTCCAATATTATTATTTGATCGAATTAAACTGTTTTATTGTTTATCAAACAAATTAAGAATATCATATTAATTAATTTATCTTTCGTCGAACAATCAAAGAATCGCATTAATTTGTGTGTTTAGAAAAAATTTGAATTAAATAAAATAGAACAGATATATAAAATCTGAATGAGAGATTAAAATTTTCGAACTTACCCCAATTTGATATAGTACCCTAGGTTCCTGATGAGGTAAACGATGTTGTTTCTTATTGCCAATAAGATCAATCTCAATCGCTGCGTCCTGGAATTCTTGCAATTCGGCTAGATATCTGTTTTCATCTAAGGACAGGTACTCGTTGAGGAACTCTTCCCCAGCTTCATCGAGGCCAACACCCAATAAGCTACCTTGGCTTTTACGAACGATCCCGGCAATCGCCACGAGATACAACAGGAGAGTCTCCATCCTCCGTAATCCAACTTCAACCACCTCCACTTTAACCTCCTCCACCTCCCCCTTCCTCCTCCTCCTCCGCCACCTCCACAACCCTTCTCTTCGACTCTTCTTTTATCCTTTTCTCTGTCTGTCTTTCTTTCTCTCTCTCTCTCTCTCTCTCTCTCTCTCTCTCTCTCTCTCTCTCGTGTGTGTCGGTTAACGACGAGTTTTGCCTTCTATTTCTTTCTTTCTTCTTCTTCTTCTTCTTCTTCTTCTTCTTCTTCTTCTTCTTCCCCCCACCGAACCCCGAGGTCGACTCTACGTGCAGTTTACAATTTGCACGTACATACTCTAAGTTAACATAGACGAGACATGCAACGAACGGCTGACCCACTGCGACCTTTTTCTTTTTCTTTTTCTTTTTTTTCTTTATTTATTTAATTATTCTCTTTTCCTTTATGTCTTCCTTCTTCCTTTTTATTTTTTTTTATTTTTCTTTTGCTTTAGCTTTTACTTACATTCCAAAATCAACTTAAAAAATTCCAAACAGATTAAATTCTTCTTCTTCTTCTTATTTTTATTTAGAATTATTTAAAAAAAAATAATGAAATTTCTCTTGTTGTCCTTTTCGTTGCACTATTATCACTAAACGTATATAACCATTATTAATGTTATTATAATAGTATATATTCTAAGAAACACCCTTCAAAGTCTAAATATAATTATTCTTCATGGGGTGGGGAAAACAAAAATGAAAAGAAAACAAGTAGCCACCTTTATCTCCACCTTATTCTTTACACTTTTTCTTATACGTTATAGGTCATTTGATCGAACTAATATTAACTAGCATGATGGTCTCTTGAAAAGTACGTACGAACGTACGAACATACGAACAAATAATAAATAATAAAATAAAATAGCAATAAATCGAAATAAATTGTCTTGACAAATGACAACAATAATTACAATAATAATAAAAATAAAATAAATCTCGTGAAATATAAAAAACACGATATGATAGTTTAGTAGTAGTAGTAGTAGTAGTAGTAGTAGTACTAGTAGTACTAGTAGTAGTAGTAGTAGTAGTAGTAGTAAAAGTAGTAGTAGTAGTAGTGAAGATATTATTGTTTTCTTTTTCTCGAGATCTCGCAATTCGATTACCGAACGAACGAGCGAGCACGCACCACTCTTTCAGAACTCAAGAATACTATTACGAGTGAGTTCGACGAGAAGAGTAGAGAAATCCCGCTGACGGGCTACACGAAGGTATGTCGTGAGCTGAACTGGACTCTTAAGCTAGAGGCAAAGCATGAATGGGTGCCCCCACCTTATTCCTCTCCTCTCTTCTTTCTTTCTCACTCCATCGAACTTGTGCCACCCTTCTTTCTCTTCTCCTCTCCTTTCCTCTCCTTTCCCCCCTATGAACACCTTCCCCTCTCCTCTCTCTCTCTCTCTCTCCGTTCGTTCAACGTTATTCAAGAAAGAGAGAGGGGAACTTTGCCGTTTTCTCCCCCCCCCCTCACAAACACCCTCCCACCCTTCTTCCTCTCTCATTCTCTCTCCCTTTTTTTTCTTCTTCTTCACCTTCGAGGAGAGGACTTCTCCGATGCTTTCTCGGAAGCATCCTTATTTGTTTATCCATTAGGAGAGCGCGTACTCACGCGCGGATCGGTTGTAAAATTATGCGAACCCGTCGCATTGGTAGGAACGCGTGTTCAAAGAGAGAACACGCGTTTAACTTTACACACACACACGTACCGTATGTGTGTAGTATGTGTATGTTTATTTATATGTGTGTATATGTATGTGTGTATGAATGCAATGAGAGAGAGGTGCACCCAGTGTTGTATGTTTCAATGGTGGGGAAAAACCTTCTATCGGCTTCTCTTCTTCCGTGCTCCCGGCGTTTTTCTTCATTCTTAAACTTCTTATTTTTATTCTTGACTATGAAAGAAAAGAGACAGAGAGAGAGAAAAAACCGTTTAGTGGTAGTATACTAGAAGGAATATATATATGTAAACCTTCTACTACTCATTGCAGGTTTACCGAGCACAGGTTGGCTCAAGTGAATGCGTGGCCCACATGTTGTGTCGCGTGTATGTATACGTATTCGTGGGATACAATCTTTTATCTCTCTCTTTCTCTCTCTTTCTTTATTTTCTCTCTCTCTCTCTCTCTCTTCGTTCTTTCTGTTTCCGTACTCGGAAACTCCCTCGTAACCCACCACCCTTCCTCTTCTGACACGAAGTGTCGTTAAAGGCCCACTTCATGTAGGTCGTTTCTCTCCTTCTGGGATCCACCAGGTGCAACGGGAGTGGCACGTAGGATTACGGACGTCCTTCGGAAACACGCATATCGAGTTCCATATGAGAAACAGAGAAAGAGAAAAAGTGAGAGAAAGAAACCTTGCTTGCTTGCTTTGACTGTCTGCTGCTTGCTTGCTTACTTGCTTGCTGTACCTACCTCCAAAACATTTTATTCTCGCTTAAAGACTTTTTCTTCTTCTTATTCATTTTTTATTTCTTTTCTTTATTTTCTATCATTTTTCGTTATTTCGAGAAAATACAAGGATTATTTTCGATAATGAACGTCAAATCGATTTTTTTATTTATCTCGCGGAAATAAGACAAGTAATGATATTAGAGTGAAACAAAAGTTCGTAAGTTTATTATTACGTTATAATTACGGACAGTGTCCAATTTTTTTTTTTCAAATCAATAAAATCATTATACTTTATATGGGCAAATGAGAAATATTTAATTGAAAAACACATGAACCTTTTCGTTAACTCTAATAATTAGAGAAAAGAAAAAAAGATGGAAAACAAACATTAGTTCAATAAATATCATCGAATAAAACAACTATACCATCACTTGTTATTAATCAACGTACAATTATCTAAATAATGATTAGTCAATAAAAAATAATTATTGAATAAGAAAGTGAGGAGAGTGGAAGAAAAGCTATAGGCCGAATCTCGTTTCGAAAATTTCAATCAAGATGTTGAATATGATAATTTATCGTAGATTTCGTGTTATATTTCGTAAACTTATGTGAAAGAAAAAACACACACACATACATATACAGGATAAATAAATACGTAAAATGGTATGGAACGTGGACCTAAAGATATTATAAACATCGTATACTTGAACATACTTGCGTAAGTACTATCGAGCTTTACATAGTAGTATGTTGTGTGTAGTAACGTTTCATGCCATTCCTTTAATTCCCCCTCCTCCTCCTCTCCATTCCCCCCTGTGTATAAGGAGACACGACCCGTTCTCTCTTTCTCTCTTCAATTCCTTTCGATGTTTTCTTTCGATGCACGAGAGCACACGCAATGGCACACATAGTTCGTTGCCCACGTATGACACGGGCAACGACGCCAGCATCAGGCGGCAGTAGAAGGTTGGGAAGAAAGGGGAGGGGTTAAGAAGGGAGGGATGGTTTTTGCGTAGGCGTATCAACGAGTCGCGTTTTCACCACTGGCTTCGGATTAATACTCGTGTATTATATATGTGTGTAATACCATAGAAAAAGAGTGAGAGAAAGATATTTGCTCGAAGCCATGATATCGATTCACTTGGTACCACTACCACCACCACCATTGAACGAATGAACAAATGCGTGGGCGGGTTCGAGAGACGAGAAAAGATCTTCGCGCCGATTTCTCCGATGATGATGATTTTTTTTCTTTTTGTTGTTATTTTCTTTATTACTTACTTTCTTTCTTTCTTTCTCTCGTTGTTGGTTCGTCATTGACCGAACCTTTTCTCTTTTCCTTTTCTTTTTTTTTCTTTTCGATTTTCTGCTATATATCATAGAAAAATTATCTATGGTTATCGATGAAAGCTCGAATGAGAATTTGAGAATGTCTAAAATTCTTTACATGGTGATGTGTCAAAAAGATTGAATATTTTGATTTATTTTTTTATACTTTAATATTTTGGACATATACTTAGTGACCACGTGAATCTTATCATTATCCAATTCCGATTTTTCACGATATATATATATATTATGTATAGTTTATGTTCAATCAATTTTCATCCTTTTTCATGAGACAATTACTATTTTTAATTTACTAATCGTTAATTTTGTAAAGAAACAAAAAAAAATCAGTATGAATAAGTAGATTGCGAAAAGTATTAATTAAAAGCATATTTCTTTTTTAAACCTTGATTTTCTTCCTATTCGAAATTTCTTTAACGAGCAATAAACTCAAATTTATTTAAATATTAATTATCGACTTTTGTTTGGTGAACATAGTTTGGTGAACTTACAAAAAAAAAAAGATAGAAATGATATATTTCAATTACAATTATTTCGAATTAAATCGCGATTTATATTATTAATAATATCGTAGCATACATAAAAAAAAAATCAAGAAAAATTAGAAAAACTTTTCCAACGTATATATTTTGTATATTTTTAACGAGAGAAATATATTATCTTATTTATTTTTATGCCATTAAAAATTAATCGGTTAATATAAAATTATTAGAGTAAAAAAAAAAGAAGAAGAAAAATAAAATTAAAAATAAGAATAAGAATAAAAGAAGATTGCGAATCGAAAGGTAAAGTGAAAGAAGAAAAAGAAGAAGAAAAAGAAAAAGAAGGATAAGAAGAAGAAGAAGAAGAAGAAAAGGTGTTCGTTTGAAAGTAGTTGGGAAACACTGGTTCATTGATGGAGGCTGTGGTCCATTCACTCCTCCCCTCTCCATTTCCCAGTAAACCCCCACTCTGATGTTAGGTTCTCGTGTTGGGCCACGGCATCGTTCACTCTTCTACCTTGGTCTACCCTGTCCCGACGAACTTCCCCCTTCCCCACCCCTCCCCCTCAACTTCTTCTTCCTCCTCTCTTCTTCCCTCACCTCACCTCACCTCACCCCCACTCTGATGTTAGGTTCTCGTGTTGGGCCAC